TTTCAATGAACATTTTCATTTAATCAAGAACCCAATTTTCTGTCCAAGTTTTTGGGCTTTTTTGGACAGAAAATTTTTAACCCGCCCTATTGACATGACATCAAACCAGCTTTCTAACTAAAATAATGCCCAAAGCTTTTCCGTGCCACCATATCTTAAGAGTTGATTGTGACTCGCCTGGATGCTGCTTCTGAACTCATGTGAATAAATAAGAACCTGAACTTTCCATTTTAAAAAGCAAATTTCTAGCCCTCATAGTTGTAGAGAAATGCTTGAAATCTTGATTTAAAGTATCCAAAAAACAAAGCACAAACAGAGCTCAAACTCTATTATTTTTTGAAAATCTCATAATTTTGGGGCCAATCTCATGATTTTTCATGGGCCTGACTCATGATTTTTGAATGCTTAGGATTGGACAATCCTACACACACTCAGCAACTGGGCCCAGCCCCTGGCCTCTCCCCCCCCTCCCCAGACCCCTGCTTACCTGGTTCCATAGGGAAGCTGCATTCTGGCTTGATCAAGAAAACAAAATGGCCACCAGCAAAAAGCCTAAAGACCAAGGAGAAGCAATGCCTTCCCTGGGTCTTAGTGCTCAACCACTCCCCTGTTCCTATCCCTATTCTGATTCTGCACACACTCTGAAAGGGGTCATGCTGTTTTAATGCTGGGTTTTTTTCTCAACTACTTTGGTCTCCCCCTTTTTTCCTCCCTCAACAGAATTTTTTCCCTGGTGGGTTTTTTTTTGGGGGGGGGGGATCAGTATTTTTGGTTAAACCATCTGGCAACCCTAGGAGGGAGGGGGAATGCAGGATCATGTGCCCCCATCCTGACATATTTCTGTCAGAGTTTGCCAGCCTGGCTTTGCTTTGTTTGGATCGAATGTCAGCCGGTTTGCTTTCCCCGTGCCTGCCTGGAATGGGGCCTGGCCACCTGGGTAAAGGCAAGGATGTTGCATGGCCTGGGTTCTTAGTGAAAGCGGCCTAGTGCTAGGTATAAACCATGCACTGATGGCACCACAAGGGAAATGGGAGGGGGTGTCACAGATTAACCCTCCCCCCCCCCCATAGAACTATCTGGGCCAAACTACTGGCCAGACAAGCAATTCCTTGGCAACACCCTGGGAAATCCATCTGGTCCAAGGTTTGCCACCAGTTCTCTGGTAGCTGCTCGGAGGCCTCCCCGCACTGGGAGCAGAAGGAAAAGAAAGGAGGCACTATCCGGCCACAGTCACAGGCGATAGCCCGGCCTATCCTTCTTCCAGACCCTATGAGGGAAGCGTGTGAGGGGCCTGTGGACTTGGATGGCCCAGCGCACCCCGGGGCTCTCCAGCAGTAAGAACGCCACCCGAGCGAGCCCCTTGGGCTCCCTGCAGTCAGCCATGGAGTGCGCCCCTTCCATACCAATGATTTAAGCGAGGCCGTGCCTCATTTGAGCTGCGAGGCCAGACGAAGTGTGCCGATAGCTGCCCCCAGCAGTAGCATCCTAACTCCATCTGGGCAGCATGTGCTCAGCTCCTGTTGACACGAAAAGCCAATCATGAGAACACTCGACTTGTCCAGCTACTTTTCACTGTAGTTATTTGATCTCTGGGGGATAATGCTACACACAAGACCTCGAGCCTTTCCTCCAGGCTCAAACAGCAAAATTGTTCTGTAGCTTGGTCCCATTCTAACACAGGCTTTTGCTACACGTCTACCAGCGGTGTGCTTGCAACTTGGCTGGATGTCCCAGCACTTGTGTGGCTGAAGGCAGCAGTAAAACTGCAGCAGCCTGGCCTGAATCTGTGTACCTACTGGCATTGCTAGCCTGTGCTAACACCGCGCTGCTGCAGCTGCACTGGCACGTTTAGAAATGCTGGGCCAAGTAAAGGCAGCACAGGTATTTTCCTCCGAATTGCAGTCAAACCTCAGCTCGGAAGACTAGCTCTGCCCAAAAAGAGTCAGGCCATGCCTGTGCGGCGCGCCTGCATGTCACCCCTCTTCTAAAGGCTTCACGCAGTCTTAGCCATTGTGTGTCACTGCTGAACTCTGCTTCACCAGGGCCCTCCTTTGATTGCATCATATGTTCATCTCTGTCAGGCGCCCCACTGTACTTACCAAAACAGATGCCTAGGAACCAGCAAGAGTGGAAAATCAGTCCCTTCATTTCCTCTGCTCCTCGGAGGTCGTTAGGAACGATCCACCATCATTGAAAAAACAGCTGCCTTTATGGTTCTGCTGTGACAATGCAATTGGTATTTTACCTCTCACTTGATTTTTTTTCCAAAGGTATAGAGACCAACCTGCTTCAAGTGCTGGCATCAGCCTCCTTTTTGCGTTGCTGATTGCTCTTGAACTCCTCAAATGCAGAGCCCATCTGTTGCAATATGCCGGGATGTTTGGACAAACAATTTGCAGTTTGGGACCTAGTCATTCCAACTATCGGTAGCGATTAGTCAACCAGGTCTCAGGGTATTGCTTCTGGACATTGCTTCTGGACCCCAAAAATCTTTTAAACAGAAGTAAAGTAGTAAATAATGCATTCTTCAGTGTGAACTTCCAGATGAATAAGTGTCTCTGCTAGAATTCATCAGCCGTTGGGGAGTCATTCATATTCTCAGGAGTTGTTCACTGTTTGGCAATTGACGTGTTTACAGAATTTTTATTCTGGGAAATATATGTGGATCTGGATTTTCTTTGAGCATTGGAGCAGCTGTGTTACTTCCCAGTTCCCAGCGATTAATGATCCAGTGCTGGAGAAAGTAGTTGAATAGAAGACCAGGAGACCGAGTACCCCTAAGAAGTAGAAATGCCATGCCATAGCATCCACTAGAGGGGAATGGGGACGGAAGAGACGGGACGGAGAGACAGGGTCTATACCGATCTGAAGTCCATTGAATGCAACGGAAAGATTCCCTTTGGCATCACTTGGCTTGGCATCAGGCCCTTTGCAAGCCATCATGTGGGGCTGGGAATCACTGCATTCATCTTGGATGGGTCTCTGGCTTCCGCTAATAGATGGGTGGGGTCAAGACCAGGCAAACGAGGGCTGATTCAGTAGGGCTCACTTGCCTGCTGGCCCCAGCCTTACGGGAGTCCTTGATAGCCTGTCTTCCCTTGTCCCCTTGCTTACCCATTCCCATTATGGGAACCTCCAACTGCTCCCCATTTCCCTCCCGGCTCAATTCCAGCCTGCAGCATCAATGGAGCCCCACCTATTTTCCTTCCTCCGTGTAGTCTGCTGCCTTACAGTCTTGCAGAGCTCCCCGACTTTGCCTTTATGTCAGGACTTGCCCTTGGTACTGCAATTAGACCCTATGCCAGGGCCAGGGCTGCAAAACCAGGCCCTGCCGGCTGCTCACCCTCTCCGTCACTCACGAGTTTTTATAGATGAAATAGAGCAATGTTCTTCCCTCGTCCAAAAAAAAAAGTCCCAATAACCCAACACCAGAATAAAAAAAAATTGCTGAGCATCATAATCCAAGAATCTCCCATCTACCTTTTATCTCTTGTCCAATTTGTTATCCTAAACCCCATCTGCTTCCCTCAGTGGCCCCCCATGCAGAAAATTCATCTCACGTGTGTAGCCGCAGCCCTGTGTCTTCCCACAGCAGATCGCTCGTCTCCAGCAAGAAAGTAGACAGGCGACATTAACATTTATGTCTGGCAGACATGAAAGTAACGACAGATTTGAAATGGGATTTGATGAGCTTGGCACAATTCATTTTAAAAGCTCCCCAGTGCACAGCGCTGTGGGGGGTATGTGTGTGTGTGGCTTTGCTGGTTGTCTCCTTGCCACACAATCAGGTGGCTTTCTGATGTGAGTGTTTGTGTGCTGTGGGTTGAGACATGGGTGGGGTGGTTTGTGGCTTTGCACTGGTGAGATGCTGTAGAGACCAAGGAGTGATCTCACTCCCTATTCTCTGACAGTTGTCTGCCACAGCATCAGACAATACATCACCACCACCCATCATGCTAACACTGACTCTTGCCACGTTGATTTCCAGCTAAGAATTTTCAAGACAGCACTAAAATTTCTGTGTAAAAAAATGGGTTGATTCAGTATTGTAAGAAAAGCAACAATGCTCCTTGCTTTCCACACAGGAACTTCCACGTGCTTAGCATGGGAGACAAGCACATTGATCCCCATTTCACAGTTGGGGAAACTGAGGCACAAAGAGGCAACTTACCTACAGCCACAGTAGCAGAGCCAGTTCCTCCATCCCCATCCAGTGCCCTATCGACTAGCCAACACTGCCTCTGTCTAGGATGTGATCTCGTACCGATAAGGAATTTACTGTTGTATATGCAAACCAATGTGGTCGACCCTGGCCCTAGTCTCATGGGATTCCCTGGCCTTCTGAAACTGACCTGACAGACACAGTTACAACAGGCTGTAGGGGTTGCCCTCGCTGCTCTCCCATGGGCTGTGTGTCTAAGTCTAGGGCTAGCCTTCCATGCTGAATGACAAGGGGTGTCTTTTTCTGGTATTTAAAATCATAATGATCTCTGGTCCATCCATGGTGTGGTGAGGAAGGCAGATTTTTAATGCCCTTAAATCCCATTTAGGCTCCCAAGTAAGAGTATTTCAAACTGCACTGCACTGAGCACCGCCTGTTTACATCCCTGGCTGGGATGATTTAGTTGGGATTGGTCCATCTGATGGGGCGTCTGCCCCACACGGGCCCCTTGAGGGGTAAAAACCCAGCCCAGGAGAGGGCTGGAGCCAGCAGCTGTGGCTGGTATGAGCCAGTTAGGGCCCAGCTGAGAGCAGAATAAATAAAGGCTCCGGGAGGCATGGAGACAGACTCACTCTTGCTGTGGAGGGAAGCTGTCAGGGAAGCTGATGCCTGCCTGACACAGAGCAGAGCAGAGCTGGGGAAAGGCAGGCAGAACTGGGGCATTGTGGCCTGACAAAGTCCCAAGCTTCAGGGCCTGAAGCAAGGTCCGAGGCTACTAGGGCTGCAAGGAGGCAGCCAGGATAGGCAACGGCAGCAGGTCCACACCTTGCCAACGATGAGCGGCCATGTCAGACTGCAGTGTGCCCTTAAGGTAAGGGGCTAGCTGACGATTGCGGTGAGGGTTGGGGGCTCCCAGAGGGGGAGGACCCCAGACTGTGGGGGCACTGTGACAGGGAGGTACCCAGACGGGAGGACGCCATGGTCTGGGAAGGACATGGGTCCTAACACAGTGGTGGAGAAAAATAGGTAACTGTGGGTGAGACATTGGCCAAAAGGGGGCTGAATGAGCTAGTCCCCAAGTGACCAGCAGGAGGTGCCGTGGGGTGAGTGCCTGCCCCACTACTTTGGCTAGGGAGAAGCCTCTATGACCTACTGAGCACTCTTCTGACTCTAGGGTTCTCTGATGCTACTGGGGCACTCCTGTGTCCTCCTCCGAGATTCTGCCGTTCGGTACAAGCGACACGCACCCAACCACTGAAACTCAGCCACGTGTAGGGTGGCACTGGCGAACAGGGGGACTGTTCTCTTTGAAATGCAGAACAGCCTAGACTTTGAGCAGATCTCAGAACCGCTGTGCTCGCGATCCCAGCCTCCACCTCAGAAAGTTGCAGAGCTGTGTCAACCCCTGGGAACTGCCCATATCAAACGGCCTAAAACCCACAGAGGCCGGGGGTTTTCTGCAAGCCCCTCCAGGCCTTCAGCTGTTGCCCTGAACTCAGTGGCTACGACTAGACTGGCATGATTTTCTGCAAATGCTTTTAACAGAAAAGTTTTCCATTAAAAGCATTTGCAGAAAAGAGTATCTAGATTGGCACGGACGCTTTTCCACAAAAAGTGCTTTGCAATCGGGGTTTTTTTGAGCAATACAAATCTGAGCTGTCTACACTGGCCTTTTGCACAAAAGCTTTTGCGCAAAGGACTTTTGCCCAAACGGGAGCAGCGTAGTATTTCCACAAGAAGCACTGATTTCTTACATGAGATCATCAGTGTTCTTGAGGAAATTCAAGCGGCCAGTGTAGACAGCTGACAAGTTTTTCTGCAAAAGCAGCTGCTTTTGTGGAAAAACTTGCCAGTCTAGACACAGCCAGTGGGTTTCAGTGGCCCTCAAGCTCCAGGGGAGTCACGCTTCCAGGTTCAAATCTGAGAGGCTCAATGGAGTAAAAGAAGAGCGTGGATCGATATCTCTGTGCCGCGGGATGCAGAGGAAATTCCCCTTCCCAGGGCCCAGCCGAACTCCCAAGCCGCAAGGCCACTGCAAGTGCATTTCCATGTCATGCCGGCCATAATGGGACATGACAGCCGATGAAAGCCACTATTCATAGCCTCGCGCAACGGCCCTTCTCCCTAGACGAGATTCAGTGCGGCATGAGTCTAAACACACAGACCAAAGGGCCTGGAGAATGTATCCCCGTGTCCCCAGAGGCTGACACAGGCCACGGTTTGTTTGGCTAAAGGGGTTTCCTGATTGCACATCAAAGCGGCCTGTGTTAGACAATGGGAGTCTTTGTGCTCCTCCTGGTAGCCTTAGTGAGGGGCCCAGCCCTGCCACACCCCCTCTGTTTTATTTTAGTTGGCATTATGTTTTAGATTGGGCATTGTCAGGCGCCCACCACTGTCCTAGTCTCCTGTGGGTTTGTTGGGCGTCAACATTAACTCACTCAGGAGACATGCTGGTTATTCCTACGGGGTTTGTCTGTAGCTGGTGCTCTTAGTGCAGACATGACGGCCGCTGACTATTTTGAATGGGAGCTCCAGAAACTTCCTTCAGATCCCAAAGCCCTTGCCTCTCCCCAGAAGCCCCAAGACACCTTCTGGTTTCTTGTGTCTTGGCTTTCCCAGCTTAAAAAGCCTTTTTTTCCTTCTGGCAGGGAGATCGTACTGAAGGTCAAGAGATTGGTTTGCAGCTGATTACATCTGTCACAAGTGGGAATCTAGGGGCGGCAGCAGGGAGATGTTTTGTTTGCTTCTTAAATTGTCCACATGATGTTTCGCAGACTTGCCAGCTGATACACAGCAGTCTGGTTCGTTCCTAAGCGAGGCATAAGCATACAATATGGCTACGTCTAGACTGCCCCCTCTTGTGCAAGAGAATATGCAACTGAGGCGAAGCGGTGAATATCGCCGTGCCTCATTTGCATACTTAATGAGTCGCCATTTTGCGCAAAAAAACCCTCTTGTGCAAGAGCCGTTCTGCTGCTTTTTTTCAGGAAGAACAGTTCTTGCACAAGAGGGTTTTTTGCGCAAAAAGGAGGCATGTAGACGGCAAAAGCCCCTTGCGCAAAATGGCAGCTCATTAAATATGAAAATGAGGCATGGCGATATTCACGGCTTTGCCTCATTTGCATATTCTTTTGCGCAAGAGGGGACAGGCTAGACTTAGCCTAAGGCTATGTCTACACTGGCGCGGGTTCTTGCTGAAGAATGGCCATTCTTCTGCAGAGCATCCACACTGCCCGCCCGCTCTTGCGCAAGAAGATTTACAGTAAAGCGTGGTAAGAGAGGGATTCTTGTGCAAGAGCTACACTCTTTTCTAACAAGTGTAGCTCTCTTTCACAAGAGCTCTTGCACAAGAAGGCAGTGTGGATGCACGGTAGGGTTTTCTTGCACAAGAAAGGCCTAGAGCTAAAATAGCCATCAGAGCATTCTTACGCAAGAGAGCGTCCACACTGCCATGGATGCTCTTGCGCAAAAGCCCATGGCTGTGTGGACATGTTCTTGTGCAAGTTGGACAAATTGGAGAAATGGTCTGAGGTAAACAGGATGAAGTTTAATAAGGACAAATGCAAAGTGCTCCACTTAGGAAGGAACAATCAGGTTCACACGTACAGAATGGGAAGCGACTGTCTAGGGATGAGTACGGCAGAAAGGGATCTAGGGGTTATAATGGACCACAAGCTAAACAGTGTGATGCTGTTGCAAAAAAAGCCAACATGATTCTAGGATGCATTAACAGGTGTGTTGTGAGCAAGACACGAGAAGTCATTCTTCCGCTCTACTCTGCACTAATTAGGCCTCAGTTGGAGTATTGTGTCCAGTTCTGGGCACCACATTTCAAGAAAGATGTGGAGAAATTGGAGAAGGTCCAGAGAAGAGCAACAAGAATGATTAAAGGTCTAGAGAACATGACCTATGAAGGAAGACTGAAAGAATTGGGCTTGTTTAGCATGACCTATGAAGGAAGGCTGAAAGAATTGGGCTTGTTTAGTTTGGAAAAGAGAAGATTGAGGGGGGACATGAGAGCAGTTTTCAGGTATCTAACAGGGTGTCACAAGGAGGAGGGAGAAAACTTGTTATTCCTGGCCTCAGAGGACAGAACAAGAAGCAATGGGCTTAAACTGCAGCACGGGAGGTTTAGGTTGGACATTAGGAAGAAGTTTCTACCTGTCAGGGTGGTAAAACACTGGAATAAATTGCCTAGGGTGGTTGTGGAATCTCCATCTCTGGAGATATTTAAGAGTAGGTTAGATAAATGTCTATCAGGGATGGTCTAGACAGTGCTGGGTTCTGCTGTGAGGGCAGGGGACTGGACTCGAAGACCTCTCAAGGTCCCTTTCAGTCCTAGTATTCTATGATTCTATGAACTCTTTCTCAAGATGTTCTTGCACAAGAATCCACCAGTTTAGACATAGCCTAAGTGTTTCAATATGGCTGAATATAACACCATATGTCTAGAAGCAAAGACTGAAGGCCACACTCATAGAACGAGGGACTATCCCATGAAAATAAATTCCTGAAAGTTATTTCAGTTTCTGAAAATAAATTGATGTTCATAATGGACAATGAGGGCTAAACAGATATTAAGATGTATAACCTGGAGGACATAGAGTAGTAATTGGGAAGTTATTTTACCTCCCTCTGTTTTAGCATTGCTGTGAGCACTACTTTAATACTAGAAGAATGGTTAATAAATTGGAGAAGGTCAGAAAAGAGCCATGAGAATGATGAAAAGATGAGAGATTTGATAGTAGAAGTCTTTTCAATCTAGCAGACAAAGATATAAGAAGATCCAATATCTAGCAGGTGAAGCTAGACAAATTCAGGCTAGAAATAAAGAGGCAAAACTTTATGAGTGAGGTAATTAACCTACCTAAGTCTGCGGTGGACTCTCTATCACTGGACATTTCAAAATCAAGGTGAGATGTTTTTCTAAAAGGCCCCTTTAGTTCTACCACAGCTGTGGGACATGAAGCAAGTATTAATTCAGAGAAGTCGTCTGGCCTGTGTTAGGCAGGACATCAGACTGGATGACCACAGCAACTGTCCCTTTTACTTTACTAGGGAAACGAAGGAGCTTTTTCATAGCCCACTTACCAACCAGCCAGGGTTCTGTTCACCACCAGCTAAGAATAAGGCAAGCCCAAGAGGCCCTGCTAAGAGCATCATCCAGCTACCCCAAAAGGGCAGGTGTAACTGCCACGTGGTGGATTCAAACCTGGGATCTCTAGTGCTTTGTATAGGAGTCTCTACTGTTTGAGCTAAACGCCAGCTGCCTCGCAGCCTCTGCTGTAGAGCAGTGATCCTTAAACTGTGTTCCGCGGCACACAGGTGTGTCGCGAGGCAGTCCGAGGTGTGTCGCGGAGAACAACAGAATTCAAAATGGCCACCCTTAAAGAGCCAGGTGACCATTTTTTTTTCCTCAATAACTTTCCCCTGGCCCTTTTTCCCTGCGACCTTTTTTTTTCTCAACAAAAATCCTTGTGTTCCTCATAAAAAAAAGATATGTTGTTTGGTGTTCCTCCATCTTAAAAAGTTTAAGAAACACTGCTGTAGAGGTCTCTTGCTCTTAGCTGTTGCTGTAAGTGGTCTAAATGCCACTGCATGGGACAGTGAACCACACTAGGTGTGTGGGTTACACAGGTACAGAACTAATGGGCTCCCTGGGTGAAAACATCAGCACTATGCTGTACACAATTCTGTCTCATTGTTTCCTTGCCTCTCGCTAGCCACCTCTTGTCTTATGCGTAGATTAGCTTGTGGGGGAGGTGCCCATCTGTCCTGTGTTTGTGCAGCACCTAGCACAAGAGGGGCCTGGTCCATGACTGGAATTCCAAGCTGATTGTTCTCAGAGCCTCCCATTCTCTTACCTCACGGACGTGTAGGGCAGTGCAGCGAGTGGCACAGGATGGGCCGTGATGCCAGCATTATAATCGGTAGTGGGGCTGGCCGGGCTATTCGCACAACGTAGTAGGGCCTCAGTGAATCCCCCCTTGCCCCGGCGAAGCTTTCCCTTCTCACTGCAGGCTTTTGAAAATAGTCACAGCAACAAGCAGCGAAACAAAATGGCCGTTTACGGGTAATAACACCAGACAGATGTCTTGTGTACACAAAAAGTCAGTGCCCCTGAGACAAGCGGCTTTAAATAAATAATCGAGTCTTAAAGCTGAATGCACAATAGCTATTTGCATCATAAATAAATGAGGAGCCTTTTATTTATCCATTCTGCCTGTGGCAGAGAGCGAGCACAGAGGGACTCCTCAGAGCGCATACACCAAGGAGTGTCAGTACTTCACTGGCTCCGCTCAGACTCCGGCCAGCTGTTTGCCTCTGTGTGTCTGGAGCTAAACACAGCTTGCTAATAAGGATAATGAAAAAAACCAACCAACCAACCGGCTTCATCCTCTTTAAACGCACAGGGCCCCGTTTTACAGTCCTCTCCTTTAACTAGCTACAAGGGGTGGAAACGGGGCTGTGGAGGGAAGCGGCCTGCGTGTTTTGTGTTGTTGGGAAGTGGGTGTCTAGCGCATGTATTGGAATATCAGGGGCTGCTTTCCACTTTGAAAAGCCTCTGTGTTTGTAATCAACGGCCTACCTTCCGGGGTATCGAAATAGAATATACACGCCTCACGGTTGTGTTGCTAGCCAGCCCCTCACACTCTGCATCTCTACAGAATCACCTCCCTCAAGATACAGGCATTTTTCTAGCTTTTAAAGACATGACTCTGGTGGTCTCGGTGGTGGAGTTACTACATGGTGACGGTGTTGCTCGAAGAGCATTGCTCTGGCTTGTAGGCTAATGGGATCGAATGCTGCGTCCGGATTTGAAGCCACTGCTCTAGATCTTCAACTGGGCTGTGTCTAGACCAGTATGATTTTCCGGAAATGCTTTTAATGGAAAAGTTTTCCGTTAAAAGCATTTTCGGAACAGAGAGTCTAGATTGGCATGGACGCTTTTCCACAAAAGCACTTTTTGCGGAAAAGCGTCCGTGGCCAATCTAGACGCGCTTTTCCGCAAAAAAGCCCCGATCGCCATTTTCGCGATCGGGGCTTTTTTTGCGGAAAACAAATCTGAGCTGTCTACACTGGCCCTTTTGCACAGAAGTTTTGTGCAAAAGGACTTTTGCCTGAACGGGAGCAGCATAGTATTTCCGCAAAAAGCACTGATTTCTTACAGTAGGAAGTCAGTGCTTTTGCGGAAATTCAAGCGGCCAGTGTAGACAGATGGCAAGTTTTTCCAGAAAAGCAGCTGATTTTCCAGAAAAACTGGCCAGTCTAGACACAGTCCTGGTGTAATGGGGCAGAACTCTGTAGGTTTCAGTGAGGCAGCATCAGTTTACACTGGCTGAGGCCTTAGGACCCGGGGGAGGGCAAGGGAGATGATTTCTTGCCACTCCACAGCCATACCTTGATTCAGGTTCCCACAAGCACTGCAGAAAATCAGAGAACCTACGGTCATGGGCTTTACGACAGGGGTGGGGAACCTCAGGCCTGGGGACCGGATGCAGCCTCCGGCTTGCCTGGATCCAGCCCCAAGGCTCAGAGCTCCTCCTCAGCATTGGGGAGCCCTCTATGGTGCTCCAGCGCTGCCATCCCTCCCCTCTAGGGCTGGAGCCCACAAAATCTTATGGTGTGCGAGGGGAATGTGGGACGTGTCGTTTTCCTTCTCAATCAGGGGCCACGTCAGTGACGGATTTTTTTGTTTTGTTTTGGGTTTGGGTTTTTGTTTGCTCTTGCGTGAGTCTGATGGGGCCTGTGATTTTCAGCGACACATCATGGCAAATGAGATTAGCCTTCACATTGAAAAGGGTTGATGAGACGGGGGTGGAGAGGGGAGCGGAGGACAAAACCCCTGAGCTTCCCAGGCCCCAAAGTCCACTGGGAGGCAGAGCTTTGGCTTATACCCCCTGAAGACCTGGCATGTCAGCCCTAGGACACACTGTGGCTGTGTCTAGACTGGCAAGTTTTTCCACAAAATCATCTGCTTTTGCGGAAAAACTTGCCAGCTGTCTACAATGGCCGCTTGAATTTCCGCAAAAGCACTGCCGATCTCATGTAAGATTGTCAGTGCTTTTCTAGAAATACTATGCTGCTCCCGTTCAGGCAAAAGTCTTTTTCTGAAAGACTTTTGCACAAAAGGGCCAATGTAGACAGCTGAGATTTGTTTTCCGCAAAAAAAGCCCCGATCGCGAAAATGGCGATCGGGGTTTTTTTGCAGAAAACCGCGTCTAGATTGGCCATGGACGCTTTTCCACAAAAAGTGCTTTTGCGGAAAAGCATCCTGCCAATCTAGACGCGCTTTTCCAAAAATGCTTTTAACGGAAAAGTTTTCCGTTAAAAGCATTTTCGGAAAATCATGCCAGTGTAGACTTAGCCTGTGGTTCTGTACTTGGCGGCCACCACGCCGTTAGAAGATCCCGCTTTGCTTTTTAAAAAGAGAAAGGCCGCCTCGCCAGACTTTGGACATCTGTGTGGTGCCCTGAAGTACAATGAAGAGCAAAATTCTCATCTAAAGCTCCTTAAAGGCCCACGTGCGGAAACCAGAACCCGCAAGGTCCTGTGAGGAATATTATGGCCTCAATTCAACCTTCAGCTTTTTCACCAGGAATTAAGGACTCCAGTCCCACTGGCAAGACCCGCTGCATATGGGGTTGACCTGTCAAGTCAGGCCGTGCTACACAGATGTGTCCGTTCTTGGAAGCAAGTGTGATGCTTCATAATTGGATCCCTTTGTTTTACCGCTCCAGGCTGACATCCGGCGTTCTGGAGCAGGAGGCTGCTTTGGACCTTCTGCTTTCGAAGAGTCCCTGCAAACCTGCCTACTTGTGAGCTGACCCAGCGGCTGGATCAGGTGGGGAAGCAACTTATTGACCCATTGCGCCTTCATGCAGCTTAGGGATGTGCTGCAACTTAAGCCTCTGGATGCTTCCTACCTGTGGCAGTGCTCCAAGGCAGCAGGGAAAGCCTGCAGGAGGGCATGTTAGTACAGAACCACAGTGTGTCCTAGGGGTGACATGCCAGGTCATGTAAGCCAAAGCTCTGCCTCCCATTGGACTTTGGGGCCTGTGAAGCTCAGGGGTTTTGCCCTCTGCTCCCCTTTTCACCCCCATCTCATCAACTGAGAAGGTTACTAAAGCAGAGAAAAATGAAAGAGCTGTGTGAGGAAATTCCTCCCCTGCAGTGAGCCTGCAACAGCAGCATGCGGGGAGGGAGCAGGCGGTAGCACTCCATTCCACTGGCACAGGAGAGAATTAATTTTGCATGTGGCCTCTCTCAGCCACTTTACAATCTGAGTGACTGGAGTACTGGATTTTGTTACTGGAAGGGAACTGAGTGCATAACTATAGATCATCTTGGGAACCCTGTGAGGACCCCTCAGAGACATTTTGCCAACAAACGGTCTCTTAGTAGACTAGCCAAGAACAGAGCTGGTTTTATTTGTGTTTATGACATGGGAGCGGTTTAATTTCTGAATCCAAATGTGTCCCTGGAGATTGTGACACAACTTCTTCCTCGCCAGAGGCCAAGTTCACCACTGAAGTCAAGGGAGCTGAATCTCCTTATGCCAGCAAGGTACCTGGCTTACCATGAAATTGCTAAGTTATGATGGGTCCAAACAGATCAAAATCCCAGCTCAAGTGTAAATGTGCTTGTGTTTCCAGGAAGGTGCAAGTCACCTCTAGATGAAGGGCCAGCACCTCTTCGTGTGACTGGGAGATATCGGCCTTGCAGCCTATAAGCCCAATGCCAGCCCATAGCCCATGAGTGAATTTCACCCTGGCTACGTCTACACTGGTACCCTTTTCTGGAACTGCTTAAAACGGAATACTATTCCGTTTTCAGTTTTTCCGGAAAAGGAGCATCTACATTGGCAGGCTGCTTTTCCGGAAACCCCTTTTCCGGAAAAGTGTCTGTGGCCAATGTAGACGCGCTTTTCCGGAAAAGAGCCCCGATCGCCATTTTCGCGATCGGGGCTTTTTTCCGGAAAAGACTACTGGGCTGTCTACACTGGCCCTTTTCCAGAACAGTGTTCCGGAATAAGGCTTATGCCCGAGCGGGAGCAGAATAGTTTTTCCGGAATAGCGGCTGATTTTGTACAGTAGAGCATTGTTGCTTTTCCGGAAATTCAAGGGCCAGTGTAGACAGCTCGCAGCTTATTCCGGAAAAGCGGCTGATTTTCCGGAATAAGTGGCCCAGTGTAGACACAGCCCCTGTGTCTAGACGATTGCCATTTGCTGGAAGCTTTCATTTCCGTGGGGCCGTTTCACTCAAGGTGCCTATGGCTCCTCATCTAAGGGTCCATCATGAGACTCAGAGAGGGCAGAGTGGGTGTAGACCTATTTGGCCGCCTCAGGATTGTTCCCTGGAGCGTAAGCTTCAGTGGTTTGTCCAATCTCCTTTCTGTTGGCTCAAATCAATGGGGGTTCTGCCAGAGTGCACCATTAGGACACTTTTCCTGCTCTCCAGCCTAGATTGTCCTTGTGTTCACTCAGTTTAGTCGCCTTTCTTCTCAACTCCCATTGGGCCACCCTGGGCTTCTCTGCCTGCTCATTTGGGCCATTGGTATGCCCCACTGACCAGCCCACACCATTCATGGAGGTGTAACTACCACCTGATGGATTTGAACTTGGGACCTCTAGGCTGTGTCTAGACTGGCCAGTTTTTCCGGAAAATCAGCCGCTTTTGCGGAAAAACTTGCCAGCTGTCTACACTGGCCGCTTAAATTTCCGCAAAAGCACTGACTTCCTACTGTAAGAAATCAGTGCTTCTTGCGGAAATACTATGCTGCTCCCGTTCGGGCAAAAGTCCTTTTGCGCAAAACTTTTGCGCAAAAGGGCCAGTGTAGACAGCTGAGATTTGTTTTCCGCAAAAAGGCCCCGATCGTGAAAATGGCAATTGGGGCTTTTTTGCAGAAAACTGTGTCTAGATTGGCACGGACGCTTTTCCGCAAAAAGTGGTTTTGCGGAAAAGCATCCGTGCCAATCTAGACGCTCTGTTCCAAAAATGCTTTTAACAGAAAACGTTGCCGTTAAAAGCATTTCTGGAAAATCATGCCAGTCTAGACGTAGCCCTAGAGTGTAGGCTAGGAGTCTCTACAGCTTGACCTATAAAGCCTCTCAAATGAGGCTGTAAAGCTCCCTTGTTCTTATCTCTCACTGTAAGTTGTCTAAGTGCCACCACATGGGACAGTGAACCACACTAGGGCTATGTCTAGACTATACAGTTTTTCCAGGATACCAATCCCGGAAAAACTCTTCCATGTCAAGGGAACGCATTTGCTCTTCCACTTTTTTTTTGCAGAAGAACAATCTCACTCTTTCGGAAGCCCCGGTATTCCTCATTCTACATTTCCTCATTTCGGGGCTTCCGAAAAAGGGTTTTTTTCCCGACATTTGGCCCAGTCTAGATGGGCCATATGTTGGAAAAGCCTCTTCTGAAAAAAAGTGGAAAATGGTACACAAATTGTGATTCGCAATTTGTGTATTTTTTTCTGGAAAGAGAACGCAGTTTAGATATAGCCTAAGTTATAAGTACAAAGGGATAGCAAAGATGTAGTAATCTGCTAGTTTTCCAAAAAAGTCTTTTCAGAATTACCCAAAATAACTTTGGGAATCTATGCCTTGCATCTTGATCATTTCCTTGTGAATGTTCAAATACTTAATAGATGAAGGATTTATCCTTGATCCATATTTTATGTTTTCTTTGCACAAAAAGCTAGCCAACAGGTTCTGTACTAATATGGACCTGTCTGTTGGTTGTGTGTGAGACATTCATATTGAGTTTGTAAATTATATGGCCCTTGATCTGAAGTTAGCAGCAATCTTCATTTACATTTCCAAAGCTCCAACTGTGTTTGATAGGTAATTGCAATTAACCAGAATATATAGTAAGTAAATAGATGTACCCTAAGTGTGGGAAGCAAATTAAAGGAGAAGCCAGGCAGCAGAGGAAAACAGAGCTGCCTACCACAGCCAGGCTGTGCGTCACCCATTCCTGTCCCCTTTTAGTTGCCTGGAGGCACAATACACTGCCCAGTTGGATTCTTGCATGTCACAAGTAGATCTGTATATGCTGCCTGTCAGATGAGCCACTCAGACAGGAATGGTTTTGATTCAGTTATTTATACCAGCAGAGTCTATTATTCCAATCGACTTCCTGGTCTGTTTTACTCCTTTTTACTTAACAAGATGCTGTCCTGCCTCTGATTCAGGTCTCACCTCTGCATAACCCCTGCTGGTTTCACACACAAAGGCACCATTTCAAAGGCACCAGGAGGCTCCCACCGGTATAAAATCTGAAGTCATAACAGACCTAACACATGTTAAGACAAAGCAAAGCAGCAGCTATTTGTCTGAAGCGGAGCCTCATTCTTTTGTCAAAATCTTTTTGGATGAGAATCGGGTATTTGACCAAAATGGACTTTTTTTTTCTCAGAATTTTCTGGGGTTTTGGCAACCAGCCTTCTCCTCTTCCCCAAGCTGTTTTAATTTGTTTAATTGAAAAACTGAACAAAAATACATGGAAACTTTCACACGAAACAGGAATTTCATTTTAGTCGATTTATTTTTTGCAGAATATGGATAGCATCTGTCAACAAGTTCAAGCTTTAATTGTAAATATGAAACATTTACTTACTTACACGAACTTTGATTATAAGGGCTTTGGGGGGCAGAGAGTGTCTTTTGGTCTTGGGCCATGACTAGCTGGAGGCCCAGGAATACAAATAACAATTGAGAAAAATGATGCAGTATTACTAACCCAATCCTGAGCTTCAGTGGAGCCGTGGCACATCACATCCACCGAGGCTGTCGTCCACTGGCTGGAGTATTCATTTATATACATTTGGGGGGAAACCCTTTTCCTTCTATGCAGAGGCAGCTGCCCTGGTTTATGCATCACTTGCGTCTTAGTGCACAGAAGGGTTTGAATGGACCCTCATACACAGGCCCTGCGCCCTGGAGAGAATTTAATCTCAAAGTCCTGGTGAAGTCACACTTTGGCCCTTGATGTCTAAATTAGACTCCCCACTGTCATGCTGAAATACATGAATTTGAACTTAGCAGAAAGCCTCCTTGCTTTTCTCTGGGTGCCACGTAATAAAGCGGCCATGCAATTAATACAGGCTACCGTGTACAATACTTATGTGCATGGCTCCCAGAGCAGTATTCAGAGGGGAATACTTGTGTGGGTACATATTTGCACGAATGCTCGTGTATATTCACGATGCTGCTCCTTTTCCACAAACATTCTTATGAATGAAATTTTGCATCTTTACACAAATATGATCAGCAGATACTTTCTACTGCATTCACCCAACCAGTGACAATAGTAGAGAGGAGGATAATAATAATTCAGAGAGACCTTTAAAACCAGTGGCAGGCGTTTTGCTGCTAATACACAGAGCATTATGACCACTTATTACCCAAGCAAAAGCCAGACCAAGACAGACAGAGGAAAGAATCAAAGGAGAAAGGTCTCATTTCTTAGCCTGCCATAATTATCCCTGGCACAAGGAAAATAGCCATGGGCCACATGACAGGGGAAGTGTTTTAAATAGTTTCCCTGAGCAGCAAAGTTAACCTTTAATCCACAAAACACATCCCTAGAGAACTAAAGGCCCAGGGTTGGGCTCAGTTTCCGTTTTTGTGTATCCAATCTTATTGATCACTCATCTGTTGGCTTGAACCAAATCAGCAAGGGACTGGGGGGAAGGGGAAGAAGAAATCCTTCATGCACGTACCTCTTTAAAATTGCTTTCTGTTTTTCCTCTTATAGTTGGAGGAAGGAAAGCAACCAGACCTGGCGGATGCTTGGAAGGCGTGCTCCCCTTCTCACAGATAGCCCCTTCCCCCAGCTGGAATAGCATCAGAAGCACAACAATTTCTGTGAAATAGTCTTTTGGCTCATTAATAAAATACAAGACAGGGGGGAGGGGGAGATGCCCTGTCTTTGTATGAAGGTAAATCCCCCTCCAACCCATTGGAAGGAGATGACTTTGGAAAAATGCAGCATCTGATTGGTATTTGGCAAGAGACAGCTAGTAGAGCCAAGTCCAGATCCCCGACCTGTCACACTTAATCACCTCCATACATAACGAGCTGTGATTGCACATTTCCAAGTCAGCCAGGCAGGAGCAAGCACTGAGGTGGTGATTAACTGTTTATAGGACAAATGCATGTCAGCCCGACCTCCTTCCGAAAGGAGCCTAACGAATCCATAGCAGAAGGCCGGACTATAGAGTCAGGTCTGCAGGGGATTTTCTGATGGTGATTTACACCAGTTGCGGATTTGTCCCTGTAGTTACCCAAAAAGTTTCCATTTTGCCAATTGGGCTGCAGATGTATCAGAGGTACTGTGTGGTACTGGAAACCCAGCAGAGCAGAACATAAGTTATTCTAGTATGAAGGCAAGACCTGTTCCTCCCTTGGTGTCAATCAGTGTAATGCCAGAGCCGTCAAGGTCTCCTGAGCCCCAGTCCTGTGCGTATAATGCCAGAGGCATCAAGGTCTCCTGAGCCCCAGTCCTGTGCCCCAGAACCTAAGCTCTTCTAATGACCCAGCCTCAGGCTCCTGCCCTCTTGTTCCCACGATGGACCAAGTATAAGGCTCTGCAGCTTCCAGAACACCAGTCGGCCCTGGATGCATCTGAGCAGAAGTGCCAACTTCTTGAGTTCCTGGGGGCTGCTCCATCCGAGGCTCCGCCCCCACTCTACCCTTTCCTCCAGCCCCCATCCCTGCTACACCTTTTCCTGCCCGCTCCTGCCTCTTCCTGTTCTCCTTCCTCCCAGCCCCTCCTGACCGCCACTGAATAGCTGATCACCAATGGTGGGACGCACTGAGGGAGATGAGGCAGGAGCTACTCTGGGACTGCCTATGATGCTTGGCACCCCCTAATTTTTCTGTGGGTGCTTCAGCTCCAAAGCCCCCACTGAGTCAGTGCCTATGACTCTGAGGAAGGAATCGGGCCCTTGCTATGTACCGTGTGAGAAGGCCCATACAAGCCCATTAGAGGGCAGCTTTTTTAGGAAGTTTTAACTAAAAAAGTCCAAGGTTTTATTCTGAATTGATACTGTATCTATTGCCTAATGTACCAAAGTACATGTCTGTGTATAAATAGCTCTGGAGGTGAACTCATCTTTTAACATCCCCAGGGCCAAACCCCCACCCCCACCCCCAGTCATCCTAGCATGATGCCATTACCCACTTTTAACTCGCAAAGAAAGTGTAGTCAGGTATTTTCAGCTTGCTGCTCAGAAATTTAACCTCATCATTTCATGAATGGCCACATTAGAGAGACCACATTGAAAACACAAGCCCATTGCATGGGTACGTCAGAAGCCTAGTGTAGTAAGATTTGTATGGGTGGCCTGTGGCAATGCAAATTGCCTTTGGAGTTCTCTAGGGCTATGGCTAGACTGCTGAGAAAAGTCAGAAAAAGATACGCAAATTGCGATTCGCATTTTGTGAATCTTTTTCTGACTTTTTTCCCCAAAAGAGGCTTTTCCTAAATTTGGCCCGTCTACACAGGGCCAAATTTCAGAAAAAAAACTCTTCTTTTGGAACATCCCTTCTACCTCATACAATGAGGAATACAGGGATGCGGAAAGAACATGTCTGCTTTTTCCTGTGAACTGGCATTCATGCTAAAATTCAACACTCTCCGCAGGGGGCTGAACAAAGACCCCAACTACCTTACCCATTACAAAGATAGGTTCCCCAATTATCACCTCTAATACCATTAACTCACAGACATCTACCCTTCCCCACCTTAATATCATTAACTCACAGGCATTCACCTTCCTTCCCCCCCATCCCCGCATCCCCCTTCTGTTCTGAAATGTGATTTGTCCTTTTCATATGTGTTCATTTTTTTAAATTGTATCCTTTGGTATATATGATAGTGACTATTTTCTTCCACTATTTGATCTGAGGAAGTGGGTCTGGCCCACAAAAGCTCATCATCTAATAAACCATTTTGTTAGTCTTTATAGTGCTACATAGTCCTGTATTTTGTTTCTGCTTTTTTGGAAACTGTTCTGAAAAAGCTGATGCAGTCCTTGGACACGGCAGAGCTCTGCCGTCTAGACATAGCCTAGCTGTCACTGCAGAATGGGTATGTCACTGCACTGTTGAGCCTGGCTGAAAATTATCCATCAATACTGGTTTGCAATGGAAAATGAAGGTTTTGAAGGACCTAAGCTTTTCCCAAGAAGTGATGTGCTTGCTATCAAAAATATGGACTTTTCATCATAAAAAAAAACCCTCAAATCAAACAAAAGCAAACACCCAAAGCTGAAATACTTCAACAGAAAACCAATTTCCTTCCGTTCAAATATCCTGGCCCAGTGCCACAGGTGAGACGTGGAGCATGGGTCTGCCTAGGAGAACTGGGAAATACACCCCAAACTGTGTTTTGTCCTGATATGTATTTTAATGAGCATGATGCTTCATACTATTGTAACAGCAGCTCACAGAACAGCACATCACTTTATCCATGTGGAAAATGCAGCTAGAGTGCCCAGCACTGAGTCTAAGCAGCTCCAAGGTCCTGTATAAGGTCTTGTGAGGACGTGCAGTGAGCAGAACCCTTGCGCTGGCCTCTCTGCATGGGAAGCAGACTCCACTGGGGCACTGAGCACTGTACTGGCTGCCAGCGTGTTTGCAGGTGGAGTTTGGAAGCCCTCCATGGTTTGGAAGCGGACTCCGGAGAGCCAGCGTGGACTGCCACAGCTGTCATCAGGAGACATGCTTGAAACTGAGCACCTTCCTTATAAACATGGCAGGCGTGCTGACAGGCCATTTCCCAGGGAGAGTCCTTGACTTTGGAACTCCTTTGCTCCCTTGAGCCAAGGGAGTCTGAATTCATTAACCTTCCGGGTAGCCTGGGCCGCCCCGCTAATTGCTCAGGCCTTTGGGAAAGACACGGGCTACGTCTAGATTGCATCCCTTTTCCATAAAAGGGTTGCAAATTAGACGTATTGCAATTGCTAATGAAGCGGGGATTTAAATCTCCCCCGCTTCATTAGCATAAAAATGGCTGCCACTTTTTTTCGGCACGGAGCTTTGCTGGAAAAAAGCGCCAGTCTAGACACGGATCTTTCGGAAAATAAAGCCTTTTCCAAAAGATCCCTTATCCCTAAGGGATTTAAATTCCCGCTTCATTAGCAATTGCGATACGTCTAATTTGCACCCCTTTTACGAAAAAGGGATGCAGTCTAGATGTAGCCCTGGTGCGATGTAGTGAGGGTTTTGTCCACTCTTGTAGTCCGCTGTGTTCACTCTGGTTTTGCATTCACTGTCTGCTTTGTTGTGCTTTATGTGATTCTACTGTCCCGAGCTGTTCTGGAGTAACTCTGTGTGTGTGCCTCAGTTTCCCTGGGCACTGCAGCACTATCTGCATGAGGAGGGGGAGGCTGGGTACGACTCACGGTGGAAGTATGTTCAGTCTCTCACCTCCTAAGGACCAGGTGACAGCAGATAACACCTTGGGCCTGGAAGTAGGACAAAGCGGGAGGCGGGGCTGCCTGGGGGGCTGGGAGTATTGGCTGGGAGAGGGAGTTAGTATTCTGCTGGCTGGGGGAGAAGGGAGCCTAGCTAGCTTGGGGGCCCCTCTCCCCAAGATGGGCTGTACTGACGGCTCCTGGTTCCTGTAACAAGAAGTCTGAGCTACGCTGTGTCCCTGGGAACCAATAACCCTTCTGTTCTACTTGCCAGCTGAAAGTCCTGTCTGGCTGCGGAGGGTGTGCAGGGCCCGGTGACGCCCCCACACCCCGTGACACATGGCTTTCCAGGTGACTGAGCTGCCAGTCAGGCAAGGTGTTGAGGGAGCCTTTTGGCTTTAGGAGAGGATTTTTGGAAGCATCAGTCCCCTCAGTTCCCCTGTGCATTCATCTGACCAGCAAGCTAGAGGAATGGCTGTCGCACGCAGGGTTAAATACGGGTGCAGCCGACCACACGGAATATGGTGAAAACATGGCTGTCAATTGCAATCAGTCGTGTTCTCTGATTTCAAAACGTTGGCAAAATATTCCCTGCGTTAGTTAGGCAAGAGAGCCCGGCTCAAGGAGGACACGTTGTGCTAACACCCCTGAGTCGAGGCCGCACTGCTATCCCTGTTTTACAAACGGGGAGCTGAGACACAGCAGCATGATGTTCAAAAGAACCCCCTGATTTGGGGTATCCAGTTTGGGACCCTGACTTTTCAGAGTTGTTAGCATTATATTGCACTTTAGCTGCTCAAAGTACAACTCCCATTGACCTCAGCCCTGCTGCCAATCAGACCCCAGGGTTGCAAGTCCAGAAAACGAGGAACACTCAAGTAATGACCCCCTGTGAAATCTTATGTTTAAGAGAATTGCCCCAGCATCACATAGGAGCTGTTTGGCTGAGGCAAGGGTAGGATCCCGTTCACCAGGACAGCATCCAGGTGCCTCAGCTACGGCACCATCTTCTCTTCGTACATGCCTCTGCCTCATCAGGTCCAGCTCCGCAGCAAATGAGGCAGGGATCAATTGACACCAGTCTCCTTTACACCCAACTCTGATTCATCCCCCAAGCAGGTCCATCTTGGGCACTGAATGAGGCAGGGGTCCTGAGGAAAAAAGTAGCAAAGTGATCATGAAATAAAAGACTGTCTCCTAATACATAGACAGAAAGGGGATGAATTAAGATTTCACTGTCACTCTTCATTCTGGAATTTCCCTGCTTTTGACTTCTTGGACTTGCAACCTTAATAATGGTTTTAATATACATTTTTCTGTGTCATTTCCTCGCTTTTAAAAAAAATGTAAACTTGAAACCCATCCTGAAATTCCACTACATGACTTCATATTGATGCCACATGGGTCATTAGCAGGGTTAGCATCTTTAGATCCCCTGCATAGATCTCAGCCATAGCTGACAGCACTAGTAGGTTGTTACCCTCTATGTGGAGCGCCCTAGAGGGGTATAAGACACAGTCCACCAGTGGGTATCACAGATATCTTCTGACAGCAGAGGATGGTGAAACACCAGGCTCTGGTGGGGTGCGAGTGGCAGTGAGTGCAGATTCTTTTGACCCCCCCTGTGCCCCAAGCGTGACTCCTGCCCTGTGCTCTGTGACCTCCCCCCATCCTAGTCCAATTCTCTTTGTCTGCCTTCTCCCCATCTCCAGTCCTCAGGCTTCTCCTGCCAGTTTCAGTCTCTTCAACCAGCTAGTTCCTGTTTCTTCCCCACTTCCTGGCTCCCAGACACCCTCTTCCTCCCAGACACTCTCATCCCATCTCATGTTCCCCACATCCCTTCCCATATCCTTGCTCCAGCCCCCCACCTCCCTGGCTTCTTGCCC